TCATAGTGCAATGTATCGCACATGCAAATCTATGATAAAGACACAGGCTGGGCACTGCAGCTCATGCCTGTAATCCCAGCACTTCAGGAGGCCGAGGCAGGTGGATCACCTGAGGTCAAGAGTTCAAGACCAGCTTGGCCAACATGGCGAAACCCCTTCTCTATTAAAAATACAAAATTAGCCAGCATGGTGGCACATGCCTGTAATCCCAGCTACTCAAGAGGCTGAGGCAGGAGAATTGGTTGAACCCGGGAGGCGGAGGTTGCAGTGAACCAAGCCCATGCCATTGCACTCTAGTCTGGGTGACAGAGAGAGACTCCATCTGAAAGGCAAGGCAAAGCAAGGCAAGGCAGAGCAGGGCAGGGCAGGGCAAGGCAAGGGAAGGCAAACATACATTGGTTTGCCATGGACATATTTCTGAAGAGTGATACCTCCTTAAGAAGCTCCTCCTGCGGGTCTGTCAGGAGGTGTCTGGAGAAGACGTTGTCACGACAGCTCCACGTGTGTTATAGCCCCTGAAGAGCTTCCTGTGGGACAAGATGTGGAGGTGGAAGACGGTGACACTGATGATCCTGACCTATGTAGGTCTAGGCTGATGTGTGTATTCGTCTTAGCTTTCAACAAAACAGATTAAAAGTAAAAAAAAAAAAAAGATTAAAAATAGTAAAAAGCTTATAGGATAAAAATATAAAGAAAATATATTTTCACAGCTGTATGTTTGTGTTTTAAGTGACGTTATTATAAAAGAGCCAAATGTTTTTTAAATTAAAAAATCTATAAAGTATGGAAAAATGAGGTGCATTTATTATTGAAGAAAAAAGCTGTTTTAAATACATTTAGTGCAGCCTGAGTGTACAGTGTTTTTAAAGGCAACCGTAATGTATGATAAAGTCCTAGGCCTTCACATTCACTCACTCCTTACCTACTGACCCACCCAGAGCAACTTCCAGTCCTGCAAGCTTCATTCATGGTAAATGCCCGAGACAGCTGTATCATTTTTTATCTCTTACACCATATTTTTACTGTACCTTTTCTATGTTTAGATACACCAATACTTACCATTGTGTTACAAGTGCCTACAGTGTTCAGTGTAGTGACATGCTGTTTGTGGCCTAGGAGTGATTGACTAGACCATATAGCCTGGATGTGCAGTAGGCTGTATCATGTAGGCTTGTGTGAGTATACTCTATGGTGTTTGCAGAAAGATGAGATCACACAACAATGCATTTCTCAGGACTATGCCTGTTGTTAAATGACTCCTGACTATATGCCGAGTTGTCTCTACAAGACAATTTTCTTAGTCCATTTTGTGCTGCTATAAAGCAATACCTGAGGCTAGGTAATTTACAAAGAAAAGAGGGGTTTTGGCACTTCTACACTGCTGGTGGGAATGTAAACTAGTACAGCCACTATGAAAAACAGTGTAGAGATTCCTCAAAGAACTTAAAGTAGAACTACTATTTGTGTTTTGTTTTGTTTTGTTTGAGACAGAGTCTCGCTCTGTTGCCCAGGCTGGAATGCAATGGCACCATCTCAGCTCACTGCAGCCTCCACCTCCCAGGTTCAAGTGATTCTCCTATCTCAGCCCCCCAAGTAGCTGGGACTACAGGCATACACCACCATGCCTGGCTAATTTTTGTATTTTTGGTAGAGACAGGGTTTCACCATGTTGGCCAGGCTGGTCTTGAACTCCTGACTTCAAGTGATCTGCCTGCCTCAGCCTCCCAAAGTGCTGGGACTACAGGTGTGAGCCATGGCACCCGGCCAAAAAGAAGAACTACTATTTGATCCAGCAATCCCACTACTGGGTATCTACCCAGAGGAAAATGAGTCATTATGTGAAAAAGATACTTGCAAACACATGTTTATAACAGCACCATTTGCAATTGCAAAAATGTGGATCCAGCCCAGATGCCCATCAGTCAATGAATGGATAAAGAAACTGGGGTATATATACATATGATAGAATACTACTCAGCCATAAAAATGAATAAATTAATGACATGGCATTTGCAGCAACCTGGATGGGACTGGAAACCATTATTCTACGTGAAGTAACTCAGGAATGGAAAACCAAATATATATGTTCTCATAAATAGGAGCTAAGAGGATACAAAGGTATCAGAATGACACGATGGACTTTGGAGACTCAAAGGGGAAAAGGTAGAAAGGGGGCAGAGGATAAAAGACTACAAATTGGGTTCAGTGTGTACTGCTTGGGTGATAGGTACACCAAAATCTCACAAATCACTACTCAAAGAACTTACTTATGTAACCAAATACCACCTGTTCCCCAAAAACCTCTGGAATTAAAAAAAAAGAAATGACAAAACCAACATAAAAATAAAAAATCTCACCTTGAATTGTAATAATCCCAACGTGTCAAGGGCAGGTCCAGGTGGAGATAATTGAGTCGTGGGGGTGGTTTCTCCCTCACTGTTCTCATGATAGTGAATAAGTCTCATGAGATCTGATGATTTTATATAAAGGAGTTCCCCTGCACATGCGCTGTTGCTGCCACTATGTAAAACGTGCCTTTGCCTTTCCTTTGCCTTCCACCATGATAGTGAGGCCTCCCCAACCACGTGGAACTGTGAGTTCATTAAACCTCTCTCCTTTATAAATTACCCAGTCTCAGGTATGTCTTTATTAGCAGTGTGAGAACAGACTAACACAATCCTACAAGGCAGAGAAGGTCAGAGAGGAACCAGATACATGTAGAGACAGATCCCAAGGGTATACTGGCCTTATAACAACCTGCTTTCATGCGAACTAATCCATTCCTACCACAACTAATCAACCTCACCAGAAATTGGTACCAAGAGAATAGCACCAAGCCATTCATGAGGGATCCACCCCCATGACCCAAACACCTTCCACTGGGCCCTACCTCCAACGCTATCCCACACTGGGGATGCATATCAACATGAGTTTTGGTAGGACAAACTCAAACCCTAGCAGAATATTACCTCATTAATGGAACATTATCTCATTAATAGACCAATAAAACTGGATTTTAATATTGACCATGAAATGACATATTAAGCAATGAAAAATCTGTTTGTAATTTTTATAACAACAATGTTAATTATTAATATTGTTATTATTGTATTAATATTAGTATTGTTTTCTAGAACTATCTATTCCAGGTTATTCTTCAAGTTCTCATTCAGCTTGATTGTTTGTGGCTAAGGAAGTTTGATCATGATTGCATAATGGTTTTGCTTAAAAATTTCTCAAATTCAACTGAAAATAATTTAATTCCATGTCAGACAAAATGCTACATAAAAATTCATGTTTTGTAGATAGTTGAGAAAGAATCTGTGATGGCCAAGTTTGTAATGGCATTAGATGAACTAAGAACAATTTTGACTTATACTCCATTATCAAGAAGTTTGAAATACATTTGTCTCTTACCATAAGAAGAGGGCCATCATGTTTATATCAATCAGGTTAGTGCATGAGACCAAGTCTTGTAGTCTTTTTAACACTGCAATGGTTTCCATACTACTAGAGGTAATTTATTACCATCTCGTGCCTTCAAGATAATGATTTCCAGAAATGCTCTCTGTACCCAGGCAGGATAAATGGTGATCATCTCCTGGACTTTTATATGTACACAGTTACCGTTCTCCAGTTATAGGTATAATTGATGGTTAACTTCTATATAAGACTTGAATTCCTCTCTAATTTTTTTATACTGGCTACCTTTACCCACACCAATTATGATAGGCCAACTAGAAACATTCCGCAGAGGCGGTTCATCAGAATTGGGTATCTGCAGTGATAGTTCAGAGTACTCAGAGTTTCTGCTAATGCTGGTGGATTAACAGACATGAATATTAAGCTGAAGAATCTAACCTTACACACAATGGCACCAACAAAGGTGAAGGATTTTTCTAGGATAAAAAGTCCCGCAAAAACATATTATCCATATTTCACATGTTGTAAAGTTAAGGTGATAGATGTAGTTGAAGAACATCGAGATTCCTGGGAAACTAGAAAAGACTGCTTTTTGCACACACTTTGTTTTTTCATATATGGCACTGTTTTTGTAATTAGTACCTGAGTATCAGCTGGCATTTTATGATGTGTAGAGCTTGGAAGGGTCAGAAAAATGTGGTGTTTGTTCCAACCTAATGCATCTGTACAGATTTAAAACCAGGAATTTCTTAACATCGCCATCTGTTAAGCATCTCTTTTTTGGCACATTTAGCTCATAGACAATGAAGTACCTCAGCAATTGTTGCCTTTTGTGTAAGTAATTAAAGTTAGTCAATAACTAGACTCAGAAGGCTTACTTTTATTTTATATATTCTTTACTTCAGGTGCGTTTAACTTGGATTTACAATCTTAACAACTCATCTTGAGATGATTTCAGTGTCTCTAGGTCCCTCATGGACCAGATTTCACCATGGCCTACCCTGGGCCAAGCTACCAACGTCTATGGTCTGTTTTATTGTAAAAACTTCCCAGATGGTTCATTGGCTTCCACATGTAGCCCTCTGTGGATGACTTTTGCACAGCTGGAGTTTCACTGGACAGGGCTTTCCTCTGCAATGTTGAGCCAAGGCTGGCACTGATGTAGACACTCCAGTGATCACTGAGCAATGCCTGCGAGAGCAGGAGGGGAAGCAGAGAACCCTGTCAGAAGCTGGAAAGCTCCTTGTTTCTGCCAAATCCTACTGCTTTCCAGCTAAAAACAAGGATCTTTTAAAAGAGAACATTATAAACAAAATAAGCGGAACAATAAATGAGACGCTGCATAGGTTTAGTGTAATTTGTTTTCCTTGTTGATTTTTACTATAAATGCAACCAGCAGAGTTTAACTGCACTCAAGTTCTCCAGCAATCGAGAGCACCAGCACTCGGCTACAGAACCTTGAAAGGACCCCAGGCCTATGCAGCTGTCATGGTTTTATAGCAACCAGCTATTATGAGACCAGGTGGTGGTGCAGGAATCTAATGTGTTGCCCAGAGACGAGGATGGTCTAATCAAACACAGCTTAAATGAAAGACAATGAGAAGATTTCACCTAAAATCCTTAACAATGGGTTTCTTCACAGAGAGTTTGAAGTTAGCTTCCACGCACTTGGCGTCTGGTAGGGCTCTACTGAAAGCTCACAGCTCAGAGGTTTCTACTCTGAAGATGTACAGACCTGGAAGAGAATTAGAGTCATATGTTATTTTAATTAGATGAAAATGGCCCATAAATATATCATCTCTTGCTCTCACTTTCCCGTTCATCAGCAAGTCCTACGGGCTCCCAAACACACCCAGAATTCTTTCTTTGCCTCCTTCTTTGTTACCCTAATCCGTCAGTTCTCATAGTGTGGGCTGCAGACACCTGAGAGTCCCTGGAAGAGACCTGTGAGTCCACAAGACCAAAACTATTCTCATCAGAATATTAAGATGTTATTTATCCTTCTTATTGTGTTGATATTTGTACTAATGGTTCCAAAGAAATGACAGGAAGAACTGCTCGTTCTTTAGCATGATAGAAGCGTAGCACTGACCTGCAGCAGTGATCATTGTCCTTTTGGCCCCCACAGACTTACCTGCAAAAGAAATGCCACTTCCGTTAAAGACTGTCCCTGAAGAAGCCGTATAAATTGTGAATTGTATAAAGCCTCAACTCTTCAATGCATGTTTTTCAATGCATGTTCAATGCACAAACTGGAAGGACACAGAGAGCCTGTCTGCTACAGATGGAAGTTTGCGGTCATCTCAGAGAAAACTTTACTCACGGGATGGTTTGGGTTTTTTGGTGGGTTTTTTTTTTTTGTTTTTTTGTTTTTTTGTTTTTTTTTTCTGAGACAGAGTCTTGCTCTGTTGCCCAGGCTAGAGTGTAGAGGTGTGATCTCGGGTCACTGCAAGCTCCACCTCCCAGGTTCAAGCGATTCTCCTGCCTCAGCCTCCCAAGTAGCTGAGATTACAGGCACCCGCCATCATGCCTGCCTAATTTTTGTATTTTTGTAGAGATGGGATTTCACCATGTTGGCCAGGCTGGTCTTGAACTCCTGACCTCAGGGGATCCGCCCGCCTCAGCCTCCCAAAGTGCTGAGATTACAGGCATGAGCCACCAGGCCTGGCCAATAGGACGGTTTTTACTTTGAAGAAAGATAGCGGACAAACTAAGGGAATCCAGACTTGAGTTTATGGCTGGTATTTTCTCAGAAATGAATGGAGGGAGCCATTGCCTCAAGGAGCACAACTGACACCGTCTCTTGCCAAGAACACAATTCGAGGTCTAGAGTGAAAATCTGAATTTCGGGAAATGTATATCTGCCTCTGCACACTCAACAGATTTCAGATACTTAAAGTGTTTTCTGATAAAATCAATGGGGATATTAGGGAATGTGATTTTTTAACGATAAAATTCATGATATATGTCAATATTTGGAAGATCTGCACAATTCGGTGGAGTTTTCTAAATGACAAATGCTTGATGTTATAAATGGTGTAATTGCAGGGGGACAAGATGAATTCAAAGAGTAAGAATGACAAACGAATTTTCACATAAAAAAGTTAAAAGTTTGTTACTGTGGTTTCAGATTTCATGTTGCAATTAATCATTAAGAAACTATCACTTGTCTAGTTTTGGTACAGATAAGGAAAACATCCACAATCATAGGAAAAGGTTATTAACTCTCCCTTTTCCAACTACTCATCTATGTGGGGGTGAATTTTCTCCATATACTTCAGCCAGAACAGATATCATGGCAGACTAAAGACAGGGGCAGCTGTAAGAATCCAGCTGTCTCCTGTTAAGCTAGACATCATAAAAACGTAATAGTCACTCATCACTAATTGTTTTTGTTTCAAAAGATGTAATTATTTTCCATAAAAAATAGATATTATCACTGTTTACATGCAGCAGGCTTATAATTATTGGTTTTAAATATATTAATAAATTATCCTGTTTTAATTTCTGAGACAATAATTTCTCAGTCAATGTAGATAGATATAACCCACATAATCTCATTAAATTCCCATCACAGCCCTATGAACTAAATACTATTGTCCAATTTATATCCTGCAAGAGTAGAGGGGCCCATTATTAATGTAATTAGGATAAATTTGCCACTAAAATTAAATATGTTGATTGTAAAGACAAGGGCTGATCTGCCTTGATAAGATTTTCTCTTAAAACCACCTGCCTGCCTTGGTGAACATTCAACCGTCAACTTTCTCCTCTACTAAGAAGCGGCATCCTGCACGCACGAGCAGCTGGCCTTGGGGAACTGGCACAAGGATTCAGGTTCCCTCCAGAACAAGCGCTCCTCTTTTCTGTCCAGCAAGGTGTCTTGAGTAGAACTACCATGGCAACAACACACGAGGCTTGGAGAGTTCGCACTTACACATCTGATCCAAATCCAGTTGATGACAGCTTTGTGTCCTTCGGCTTCTCAGCCCTGCACTCAGCCACGCAATAAGTCGGGCTGCTGGGTAACAGAAGGATCCCTGGTCAATTACAGCTCATTCACCAGAACCAGATGAATGGTCCACCTTCTTTATGAAGCAAGAAAATGCCTCTCTCTGGCAAAACCCCATCTCTACAAATAAAAAATTAAAACATTAGCTGGGCACAGTGGGGTGTGCCTGTAGTCCTAGTTACTCAGGAGGCTGAGGTGGGAGGATTGCTTGAGCCCGGGAGGTCGAGGCTACGGTGAGCTGAGATGGAACGACTACACTCCAGCCTGGACAACAGAGTGAGACCCTGTCTTGAAAAAAAAAGAAAAAGAAAATCCTTCTCTCAAAGCTACAAGGCTGAGAACAAAGCTCTGGCTTCTGCAGGAAGCAGCAACACAGCACGACGTGTCCAGGGTTGTTTCAAACAGTGATTCTAGATTTGGGGCAACTTTGTCCCCATGGGACATTTTGCCAGCCTGGAGGCCTTGGTGGTTTTCGTGATGGGTGTGGGTGTGGACGCTACTGACACCAGGTAGGAGGAGGTCAGGGACATGGCTATATGTCCTGCAAGGCACAGGATCCCCCCACAACACACACACACTGAGAAGGATACAGCCCTGCATCAGAAGAGCAAGGGTGAGGCACCCCGTTTCGGAACTGCCCTGCTCTCCAGACACCCCGTCTCTGCAACCATCCCTGCTGCTGGCGTGGCGCCCACCCCAGGAGTCCACTCATCAGGTCCCAGAGAATGTCTCTGGGGTCTGCATCTTCCATAGCATATGGAGTCCTGTCTAATTGCTAGTCCCTGCTCATCCAACATGCAGCAGAGTGCCTTGTCCAGAATGAGTATTTGATAAACATAAATAGTGGCTTAATAAATATTATTATATTATCTGTACCTCTAGTGTCAATAATCTTACAAAGAAATCGACCCACTAATAAGTTAGAGCCGCTGGATCCAATGGTAAGTTGGCATGTCCACACCAGGTATACCAGAAGTAGCACCAGGATAAAAATGTGAATATTCCTACCCCAAAAAAATAGGAGTGTGAACTCTTACATAAGGCATCTTTTTTAATTAAAAAATCTCAAAGTAACCCAAAGAATAATTATTGAAAGGATAAACCAGAGTCCTAGAAACACTGCCAAAGATTTCTTCACTTGAGTGGAAGGAGACCACGCAATGATGACCTCTCTGAGCGGCACCGTTGCCGGTCACTCTCACTCAGCTCTCCACTGTCTGACCAGAATCCACACACAGCTACTGCGAGCCTACTATAATTGCCAACTGTTCTAGAAACTGGGGACTTGAAACGTAAAAGACTCAGCGCGGCCCTCCAAGAGCTCACAGCCAGATGGGAATGTGAAGATAATTTTTCCCAGTGGGTAAAAGTGCTAGAGACCCCAAAGAATATGCGTCCGGCCACTGTGTGAGCTCACGTGATCTCGTTTTCTTTAAAGGCAGGGGCAGTGAGGAAGAAGACCGGGAGGGCTGGCATCCAGGTAGGAAACCATGGTGTTTAGATTGGATGGTGAGAGACGCCAGGATGATGAGAAACGCTCAGAGCTGAGTCTGTTCTGAAGCCACAGTCCTCATTGGTGTGGTTCCTCCAAGTGCAGAACCCTTGAGAGAGGGGCTTCGCTCTCACTGAAACTGGGCTCTCCCTGCAGTGTGAGGCCAAACCCCAGGCCTTGGCAAAACCCCCTGGGCCAAGACTGCCCATCAGGCCTCGCAGGTGTTGGCCAGCAGCCTCCCTCCTCATGCACGGCTGGAGCACAGTTCACAGCTCCTCAACGTTCATGTTCCCAAGGGCAGCAGGATGACAGTCACCCACCCCCACAACGGCCTTTGCACCGCCTCTGCTGCAAATCCCGGCTCCCCGGCCACTAGCGAGGAACGTGGGCCCGGTGTCCAGCCTCTCTCAGCCTCTGAGTCCTCATCTATAAAGTCAGCAGCAGAAAACACTCTCAGAATCATTCTGACAAACAGACAGCACATAAAGTGCTTGGTGTGTGCAGAGTGCTCACAGCCCTGCTCACGTCTCTCCTCCCCTCCGATGCCGTGACAAGAAAACCAGCTGCTTTGGCAGTGCAGGAGGGCCCAGCGCTCTGCTAGCAGCTGGCCAGGTGACTCTGGACCTCCGGGGCCTCGGATGTCCGTGACCACCCCAAATGGAGGCAGTGCTGTCTCCTTGCAGGAGCACGAAATAAGGTGTAAGGACAGCCCCCGACACAAGGAAAAGGATTCCTAGGGATGGTTATTAATATCTTATGGGCAGAACACATCTACCAACCCTGTCTCTAGCAGGTTCAAATACAGCCATTCGATCAGCATTTATTTATCACCTTCTGGGCGATGGTGGGGCTGGGGGAGTCGGGGGGTGGGTGGTGCTGGCACAAATCAGTAATGAGAAGGGTAAACACAGCCTTTAAGGAGACACAGAAAACAGCAATTGAAAACAAGGTCAGAAAGCAGAAGGTTCTGGAACCACGGCTTATGTGTGCTGCGGCCTTGGGCAAGGTCTCTGACTTCATTTTTCTCAGCTGTAAAGTTTGTCATGAAGAATAAGTGAAAGCTCACCTATAAGTCGTGAAGCACACTGCCTGGTACCCAGTGAGAACCTCCTCCGTATTAGCTGCCACTGCAGTTTGCTTACACTTAAAGCTATCATTATTATTATTCAGGAGTAAGGTGATTGTTCGAGTTAGGACTTTTGCAGTTGGAAATTAAAGAAACTGATTTCATGTAGAGTAAGCCAAATTAAACGGTCTGTCTTCACATGACCAGTGCGTCCTTGGTCGGGACAGACGCAGGCCCAGCTGAACCCAGGAACTGAGGCGATGTCTTCGGGATTCCCGGTCGCTTTGTATTGCTTTTATCGTTTGCTCTCAGCCTAAAGCAATTCTTTTATACTCAGGTCACCTTTCTCTCTTTTAAAAGGAAAATAGCCTTTAAGATCTTCAGAATTTTATCTTCCAGTTTCCATGGAAGTTTTTTCAAACACACACAAAAAAGTAAGACTTCTCCCTTCTCCTGTAGCTCCTCCTGATTCCAGAAAAGGACTCTGACTGCCCGGGCTGGGCTTCACACCCACCTGGGCTGATCCTTGGGTGGGGAAGAGCAGTGGGACCAGCCAGGTCCTGCAGCACAGGCTCCCCAGGGACTGTCGTAGCAGAATCCACTATTGGCAACCCCATTTGAATCATTGGGCTGGGAGGAACGGTTCCTCAAAGGAAAGGGGTGGGCAGAGTGGTGAGAGGCAGATACAGAGCCCCCAGCGGTAATAGACACAGACAGCCATGAAGCTGGAAAACGGTACAATGAGGTCATGATGCTCTAAATGAGAGAGGCAGATTCTCTGCTGGTCTTGGGAAGAAACGATGAAAAACATTGCCTAACTGTCACCCTGCAGGACTTCTGCCTCCCAAGGTTCACAGCTTAGTTTGAAAGTGACTCGAACTCCAGTAGGTTGTTCATTTCATTCCCAAGAATAAAATCATAAACATCTGGGCAGAAAGCTTTCTGTGGTCCACTTCCTAATGGACGTTGCATGAATGCTTGGCCAAAATTGAGTTAATTCGATTCTTAACATTCGAGTTAAAGTAGTTTTGTATTTCTTTGTTTATAAATATCCCAGGAAATACTCAGTGAATCTTTGAATTGTCTTTTTTTACTTCAGTAAGTGTTCCCAAGTGCCCGCTGATCTGATTAATTCCACAATTAAAATCCAGGTCCTACAGGGCAGCACTTTTGTGATCACTAGCCCAGTGAAATCACAGGGAACAGGATAAAATACACTTTCATGTGCCCCAATGTCCTTCATACCTTCTCAACGCGGACTTTAAGGCTTTTGCAGATAAATACGAAACATGCTTTGCCAACCTTCTACAAACACACAAAAGTCCCCAGACACTTCGTGATTGCAACACCACTTGGCATCTCATCTAGTGCCTGGGGCCAGCGATGGGAATGGGAGTTTATTTTCAAAGCTGCACTCCTCATCCTGCCAGTTAATAAGCAGGTGAGCAGGGCCTTGCTTTGGCAGTCTCCACTCCGCTCCTAAACCAGACGCCCTCCCCTTCACCCCTTGATCTTCTGCCCTCCGGTCCTTCGCCCTGGGACGCTCCTCCTGCTCTACCTCACCAGCTCCTCAGGACCAGACTTCCCCCAGTCTCACAAGGTAACCCCTCCTCGGGGTGTTGAGGACCCCTGTGGAGCCTCCAGCATCTGTGCTTTCCTGCATCGAGGCACAGTGAAGGCTGCGGGATAATCGTCTGCTCACTGTCTCCTCTGCTAGGTCCCCTTGAGGGTCAGAACCTCGCCGCATCAGTGGATGTCACCCAGGAGGTGTTCACACTGTTCACTGGGCAGGTTAACTTATTCCACCAGGTACCTGGACATGCAACCCTGAAGGAGGCGTGGTTCCGTAGGCCCTAGAACATGAGCTCGTGCAATCCTCACGGCTTTCCTGTTGGGTATTCGCCATTGCCTTCCCATTTTGCAGGTAAGGAAACCAGTGCAGAAAAGTGAAGCAAAAGCCAAAACCCCTCCCAGGTAGGAGGGGGCCAGATCCAACCCAGGCAGGGGCCCTAAAGAGTGACCTGCTGTGAGAATAAAGTTAAAGGACACACAAGGAGCTGTGCAGACGTGGCTGCAATGCACCTGTGCCCAGCACCATGGTCTCCTCCCTTCTAGAAATTCACCACAGCCCTGGCAGCCTCCCAGCCTGAGAAGTAGGCGTCACCTCATCAGGAAGCCACTCTCTGCTTTTCCAATTCCCAGGAGCCCCAGGTGCCCCTGTCCACTCATTTCCTTAGACATGGTGTTGGGCACACCGCACTCTGCAGAGGGGCCTTCCCGCGTCCACGCTGCATGACTAAAACGCAGTGGGGTAGCAGGTCCAGGATCCTCCCTCAAGATGAGAAGAGTTGGCTATGCCTGGTTTATGGATAGTTTTACAGATCGTCACACACAGCCTTCCCGCGCCATTCT